TAAATATTAGAAATCAAGGTCCATATATGGAAATAAAGGGCGAAGTTTATTTTCTGGAGAAAAATACATCTAGTTTTGAAGTCATGGCCATCTGAGTAAAGTTTTATTTTTTTACTAAAAGTTTATTTTCTGTTATGTAAACACGACAGAAAATATTCTTCCACTTAACCCCAATTCTTCTCTACCCCTCCGACAGACCTATGCTATAAGAAATGTACTGCAAAAGGTTGTTCTACCAGATTTTTGTAGATTTCATTTTGTTGAAGATACTTGTTGGCCTTGTACATTGTCGATATTCCTTTTCATATTGCAGAGAGTTAAGGCATGATCAAGTAGGGTTCTGACTCCGTTGTCAGATACTTTATGGTTGCATTCCTAATTCAGTGAGGATATGGTCCGTCAGAATCACAATGATATGATCGGGGCTTCTTCAAAAGAAAACGTATCGAACAATTCTTCATACATGTTTCATGTGGAGAATTCAGTTCTCAGCTGAATGCATGACATTAAACATGAATATTTCTGTCGGTGAAATAATTTTGACTTCCAAAATAACTTTTGTGGATGATCTGCATTCTAATCAAAATCGATGGTAAACAAGTTTCGAAACTGATGAGATGAATTTGAATTCTTCACGGAAGATGAGACTGAACACTTGAAAGGAAGAACTTTTGTGTGACTGAACATCTGGAACTGATAATCGATCTGAACAGAAGGTCTTGAGACGGCTAGCAATTGTGCGGTGTCAATAATCTATCAGTTCCCTCATCGATCAGACCGATGCAGAAAAACGTAGTGGGCTATCTATGGATCATGAAGCAGCTTACCATCGTGATGGATACATACACAGTATATATACAGTGTATACAGGGTTTTTCGACAAAAACTTATTCCTGATAAAAGTGTGTGCATCCCCTATAGCTGAACATGCACTAAAGAAATACAGTAAAACACAAGGAGCCTTCAAATATTTGATTTTGAGACAGGAGTAAAGTACCCGTATTTTGAAAAATTTCGAGAAATGTTATCCAGAAAAATTATTCAGCATTGAAAAATACATCTAGTTTTGAAGCCATGGCCATCTAAGTGAAGTTTCATTTTTTTTGCCTTTTTTCAAATGGGGACTACGAAAAGAAAAATTTGCTTAAACGATAAATTGACAGCATCCTGTATTCGACTGCAATATTACAAATTATACAACTACGGTGTTAACTACGGTCAATTTTTTTGGTGCAAAGCACCGAAAATTACTCAAAATTATACGGTATTGTAACAAGAACCTAATATTCAATAATATCAAAGAACAAAATATCAAAATAAAATAGGTATTTTGAAACAAACTCGTTGATTTTCTGAATATTATTTTGGAGAATTATTTTGGACAAGAAAATCGTCAGAAAATGAACGAGTTTGTTCCGAAATACCTATTTCATTTTGATGTTTTGCGATATAATATTATTGAATATTAAGTTCTTGTTACAGTACTGTATAATTTTGAGTAATTCTTGGTGTTAACAAAAAATAAAATAACTTTGCACCAAAAACTTTGAAAATTATTTTACTCATAAAAAAATATGACCGTGGTTAACACCATAGTTGTGTAATTTGAAATATTTTACGATTTCAAAATAAATGGTCTTATACAGGATGTTGTCTATTTATCGTTTTAGCAAATGTTTTTCGTAGTGCCCGTTTAAAAAAATGGGTAAAAAAATAAAACTCCACTCAGATGGTCATGACTTCAAATCTGAATATATTTTTTGATGCTGAACAACTTTTTGAAATAACATTTCCCGGAATTTTTCAAAATAAGAGTACTTTACTCCTGACTCAAAATCAAATATTTGAAGGCTCCTCGTATATTACGTATGTTTTACTGTATTTTGTTGGTGCATGTTTAGTTATAGGGAATGCACAAACTTTTATCAGGAATGATATTTTGTCGAAAAACCCTTAACTTAAATAAGTTTCCCATATGGTGCATACTTTGGGGATGACACTGTATCTACTGGCAGAAGTACGAAAATGTTCTTGAGAAATGGTATGGAATTCACTTTCAAAGGAAGGGAGGTGTATCAACTTCTCTCAGACCCAAGGGATATTCACTGTCATCGCTGTTGAATAAATAGAAAATCCGAAATAGTTTATGTTCAATGATAACACATCCTATTGCACTGATGTTTATCGTAACGTATAGAATAGGATAATGCCACGGTTACAATTGACATTCAAAAACAAGAATTGATCTGTTATTAGCAGTTCAAAATTATTATTTAAATTTTATGAAACGACTAAAAAAATTTGGAATATAAAGGGTGTTTCAAGTTATGTCGGCACCATTGCCAACTCCGTTACTATTGATGCTACGGATTCGGTTAAATGGGCAAACTAGTAGCATTTTCGATACCGAAAACAAAAAAAATTAACAGTCGCGTTTTCAAAAAATGATATTTTTTCAAATGGAACACGAGCGACCAATGAGAAAGTATTTATTCATTGTTTTGGCAAATGAAACCTCAAGGTTGTCCAAACATCTAATTTAGGTACTTAAACGAATGATAATATTTTCTTACTAGCAGAAAAAAGAACAAAAAACGCTGGAATTTGATCTCGTGGAACACTTTATTATCATGTCATACCACTCACATAGCACTATTGAGCTATTTGGTATTGATTCACAAAATAACATTTTCCATCTTGAAGCCATTCCACTAGCCGTATTTATTTTGTGAATCAAAATATATCTGCTATAAGGATAACATTGAAGCCGGTTTTTTACAGTACAGGAAATACTGGAGAGGTTGAAAAAAATGAGTTTAATTCGATTGAACATAGTTATTATGAGTAATCAAGTTGCCTTGAAACTTTATTGAGACACTTTCATCGAATATTCTCAAGTATATCATGACAATCTCATAAATTATTGTAACTGTCAACTAATGTTCGAATATTTTTCGAAATGCCGTTTTCCCATCAAGAAAAATGTGATCCTACTTGTTTAAGGTGCGTATTCACCAAAAAAGCGAGCACGAGCGAACAAGAGTGAACGAGCATTCTGCATCAATAATCGTCTGGTGAGTACGGGCTAGCGAGCGAGCGAACGTATGCTTGTTCGAGTTCAGAAAAGATCGAGAAAAAGGCGGTATATCAAAAGGTGCTTCCACAAAGTAGATGTATCAACTACGACTACGAACTTGAAAATATTCGACGCTGGATTTTGATCTCGTGGAACACGTTATTATCATGTCATACCACTCACATGGCACCATTGAGCTATTTGGTATTGATTCACAAAATAACATTTTCCATCTTGAAGCCATTTCACTAGCCGTATTTATTTTTTGGATCAAAATATATCTGCTATAAGGATAACATTGAAGCCGGTTTTTTACAGTACAGGAAATACTGGAGAGGTTGAAAAAAATGAGTTTGATTCGATTGAACATAATTATTATGAGTAATCAAGTTGCCTTGAAACTTTATTGAGACACTATTCATCGAATATTCTCAAGTATATCATGACAATGTCATAAATTATTGTAACTGTCAACTGATGTTCGAATATTTTTCGAAATGCCGTTTTCCCATCAAGAAAAATGTGATCCTACTTGTGATATGTTAAGAAGCGTATTCACCAAAAAAGCGAGCACGAGCGAACAAGAGTGAACGAGCATTCTGCATCAATAATCGTCTTGTGCTTGCACAAAGTAGATGTATCAACTACGACTACGAACTTGAAAATATTCGCTCTGGTGTGGACGAGACATCAATATGTCGAGCAAACACCAGCGAACATAAGCGAACACGAGCGAACATACACGAATGCTCGCTCATGCTCGCTCGTGCTCACTTTTTTTGTGAACACGCACCTTTAGAATTCTACTTGGTTTGCCAGAAAAATGGCGTAAGAGCACTCCAACACTACAGCAATTGATTCCCCGATCATGAATTACCTAATCGGAGTTTTTTTGCTATGCTTCATCGTCGATTCAGGAACAATAAAAAACTTTTTGAGAAGAGGAGAACTAAAAACGTTTTGTAATATCTGAAGATACAGAAATTAACGTTTCAGCCTACTTTGAGGTGAATCCAAATAATTCCATCAGAGATTTATCTAGAGAAATAGCTGTTTCACCATTTGCTACTCAACGAATTCTGAAGAAACAAAAGATTCCTCCTTATCAGTTGAGATCAGTGTGAACACTAGAACCTGGTGAACCTAAGAGACGATTGGGGTTTTTTCGATGGTTTATAAATAAATGCAGATATTTTTTTTGTTTTCGGCATTGAGAAGGCCATTAAAAATGCTACTAATTTGCACATTCAACCGAATTCGTAGCATCAATAATAACAGAGTTGGCAATGGTACCGACTTAATTTGGAACACCCTATATAAATCACGAAGTTCTTATATAGACATATGCTTCACAACAACAATGTACTTCCAATTATGCAATCTGGTTTCAGACCAAACTATAGCTGTGCTACAGCTTTATTGAATATATTAGATGATATCGTCGCAGCATCGGATACAGACGAAATCACTGTCCTACTATTGATCGACTTTAGCAAAGCTTTTGATACATTGAATCATCAACTACTTCGATCTATATTACATTATAATGGACTTTGTCAAAGCACTTTAAAATTTTTCGATTCATATCTTTTTCATAGACAACAAATTGTTAGAGTGGAGAACCACATGTCAGATTTCAAAAATACTTCTTCAGGTGTCCCACAGGGTTCAATCCTTGGACCTATCCTCTACATAATTTACACCTCCCATTTGACAACCTGTTTGAAAAAACTCAAATATCATATGTATGCCGATGATACACAGTTGTATTATTCTTTTACTCCTGACTCTGTACAGCAAAGCAAAAAAAAACGAATAACAGAATTGAAAAAGTTGCATGTAGGGCATTATCAAAAATGCAAATATTTTTCTGAAATTCTGCCCAGAATATCAATTCCAAAATATCTTATCATACCCAACTCACCTCTGCATTGGAATTGTTCTCCATAACTTTCTTCGAGAACAAGTCACTGACAGTAGACGTAGAGGTTGAGGTGGAAGTCGACGTCGAAAACACTATACAGTCTTGCTGGGCACTATGCAAAGCTTGATCAAGCTCTTCCGCTAATTCGGTAACTTCTGAAAGCTTCTCGGAGATCGCCTCTACAGCTATTTCATTGTTCGTTACGGAATCGCAGAAATCTTCGATATCTTCGTTTTCGGCACTTACGAAGGAACTCAACAGTCTGTAAAGAAACGAGAACATGTTGGCAAGATGGTTATTTCAGCACACTCAGCAGATAAATGATTGTTTTGTTATTGTTGCGACTCTGATTGAAAAGAGGAATTTATTAGAACGCATTGTTCGGGTCACGGAGACTGCGATTCATCGTTAGTGTACTTTATTTTAGTTGAAGTACTATCTTTAGATTTGATATCATGTTGATGACCATTTTTCAGTATTTACCAGGTGGTTTTTATAGAAAATGTTAGGTTTCATCTCTAGCACTTTACTAGCGTTGTCAGTTAAATCAGCCAAATAAGGAATACTCAAAGGGCTTCTGGCACTTTTTTGAAATGAAGACAGTATACTGTTAGCATTTTCGTTAGCCTGTTGCTTCTAGCAATACACAAGCACTACGGGAAAAACGTTAAGGCGCTCTCAGAGCGGTGCCTGTGCAAAAGTAGCGATTAACATTGTATTTGAAGCGCTGGAGATTAAATCCATTTGGAAAAGTGTATTATATACAAACGCCGTTCTATAAATGAAAGAGTTCATTCATAGAACAGAGATCGAGGTGTACTGAGTTGAACCTCAAAACGATGGGCAGCAGCAGTCCGTTGCGTATTTCTGATATGTACTGCTCTTGGTGGAATCAAATGTGCCAAGTCACTTGAACACTCCCCGTGAAAGTATCTATAGAAGAGAGACAAATCTCCAACCTTTCTTCGATGTTCCAGGCTATCAAGGTTACACGTGATGTTTGCGTCTCCAGTCAGGCGGATGGTTCTTCTCTGAATGGAATCCAGGAACTTCAGAGTATGCTTGGAGACAGAGCTCCATACATGAGAACAATACTTCAAAGAAAGTCTGATCTGAGCTTTATAAAGCATCAAAAGTTGCTATGGTGTGAACAGTTTTCTGCTTCAGAACAGTGTTCCAAACTTTTGAGAAGCAGCCTTTGCATTTCCAGCGACATGATTGTGCCAAGACATATTGGTGTCCATTTTAACCATCATCAAATTTATTGAAGCAGAAAGCTGGCATTATTTTATCCGGTTTGGAAACATTTATCTTCCTGGATGTGATGCCTGTGTTTTTGTGGCATTGAATTGAACCTAGTTACTTTCACCTCAATTCGTAATCACTTCTAGATCCTTGTTAAGATATGCAACCTCCTGCTGTCAGTGAAAATGTTCCTCCCTAGCCGATGTCCAGGAATCCAAATGGAATGACAAGTGTGCTGTCGTCAGCAGAGCAATATATTGGATTTTCGTTGTTTTTTTCAATAAGTCGTTGATATACAATAAAAAAAAGATTGGACACAATATGGATCCCTGGGGAACACCAGCGTTGATGGTGTTTCCCAGTGACTTGTGAATCTAAATGAAGAATTTTTTCTGCTCTACAATTTTTCTTGTTATATTGAAATTATTTGAAAAAATCCATGGTGTAGCCGTTAATACGTCGTAGGAAATCCTAATGGAGAAAAGAGAAATGAAACTTTCTATATTTTTACCTCTTTCATTTGCAACCAACGTTACTGCAGTTTCGTTCTATACGGACATTTTCAAACTTATATAATAGAATAGGTTAGTTTACATAAACTAGGTTAGGTTAGGTTGAGTTAAGTTAAGCTAGGTTAGGTTAGGTTAGGTTAGGTTAGGTATTGTATAAACTAGGTCAGTTTATTGTATAAGTTTGAAAATGTCCGTATAGCACGAAACTGCAGTAACGTTAGTTACAAATGAAAGTGGTAAAAACATGGAAAGTTTCATTTCTCTTTTCTTCATTGAAATTATCTGTTCAATTTTGTTGATCTAAAGTTAAAATATAATTGTAAATTTGACTTAAATTTTGTATTTCTGATTCTTTGTTTAAATTATTAGTGATATGATATTGAAATTATCTGTTCAATTTTATTGATCAAAAGTTAAAATATAATTGTAAATTTGACTTAAATTTTGTATTTCTGATTCTTTGTTTAAATTATTATTATTCATACTTATGTGAACCATTTCTAGAAAAAGCCTTTTGAATTTATCATTTTCAACTGTTAAAATTTTAGTATTTTGATAATCCATAACATGAAACTGAAGAGAAATGAAGAGATAACATGTTCAGCTAGTCCACAGGAACGTTTGTTGAGTCTGCAGTCACTTTTATGTGACGTGATTCTTCCAGATAGATTACGACTGGTCTCACCAATGTAAATTGAATTACAAGATTTACATAAACATTGGCCAAACGCATTTTTCCCGGCAGTAGATATCGATCAAGCCAGAATAGGCACGACCAACTTCAAAATTCAAATATCCGTTATTTGAGAACCATTGAAAGTAATGATCTGTTCCATGAGAACGAGCTAGAACAGAATTCAATTATGTGTATTTTTTCGTGCTGTCGTTATGGGTGTCTGAGGAGTTGTTCAGAGTGGGCGAATATCCAAAAATAACAGCGTCTGTCGTGCACACTGAAATAAGAGTTATCAACGCTGGATATACAAACTGAAAATTTACACATCAAAAATACACATCTAATGATCGAAATGAATACTTGGGAAGAGTCATTTATTATGACATTTTGTTTGATAGATTTATGTTCATGATTTATGCCTAGCAGATCCAGATATTCTTGGATATTAGGCTGTAAGCGGCAATTTTATCAAAATAAATATATACTTTCACAGCGATCAAATCAATCGACAAATAACAAAAACAAAATAAAAATTCAAACATTAGGACACATTGAATGAAATAACGGTTTAGTTAACATGACTACTTTTTTTTGGTAATTTTCATAGCTTCCGTTAATGAATGAATGGAATTGAATTGTAGCATTTCGGTTACATAAGTACCACTACATGAGAATAAGATAAAAATAGACTTGAGAATGATCTTAAACTTGGCATGTTTACCACGACGCTTGAAGTATCAAACAAAACGACTGTTATGTGAACTGACACCAGAGTAATATACTATTCCTGCCGTAATATTTGATGCCAAATCTTACGCATAGATACAATTACTACATCAACAATATGAAAACAGTTCACAACACAAGAATCTCTGAAACACATTAATTTTTTGTTATTCAGTTTCAGTTGTTCTAAATATAAAATGTGCACGCATCTTTGATTTGATAGTTTGAGATGAAACAAGAAAATACACATGACACCAAGTACTATCTTCACGATCATTATTGAATTAAAATAACTTTCTCCAGCCAAATATTCATGTTTCATGCAAGACAAAATCATTAAAGGAGTCGTGTTTGACTTCATTGAACGGCTCTAGATAACAAATTGCAAATATGTGGACACTGTATAGATTTTTCAAAGGGTTTTTGATTGCGAAAGTTCATAACGGGTTCTCAGTGATCAATCAAGCATCCCACAGGGATCTATACTTGGTCCACAACTCTTTTCAATATATGCGAATGATCTCATGACATGATCTCATAGTACCTACACATCGTTGCATATACGGACATGAATATCAGTATTACTGGTCAAAGTAAAGTAACATATATGACAGATTGGCGATGTAGCCAGAGTTACTTAAATCATTAAAGGAGTCGTGTTTGACTTTATTGAACGGCTCTAGATAACAAATTGCAAATATGTGGACACTGTATAGATTTTTCAAAAGGTTTTTGATTGCGTTAATCAAAATTCTTTCGAAAAATGCAACGTTTTGGAGTCTGAAGGGTGGCCTTGAAAATGATTGAATCGTATTTGGGGGGCAGGTGACAAAGCGGTAGAATTCAAAAAGTTCATAACGGGTTCTCAGTGATCAATCAAGCATCCCACAGGGATCTATACTTGGTCCACAACTCTTTTTAATATATGCGAATGATCTCATGACAGGATTTCATAGTACCTACACATCGTTGCATATACGGACTTGAATATCAGTATTACTAGTCAAAGTAAAGTAACATATATGACAGATTGGCGATATGGGCCAGAGTAACTGGGATTATTCTATGAGACATGGATGCTTATATTCATTTTTCTATAAAAATATCTATCAACAAGCTGTCACTTTTGAAAATCACACCTTCCGACGATGGAGCAAAAATTCCGGTGCCAAAAATGTTATCAAGTTTGATAACATTCGCAATGAACTTAAATTACGAATGGATGAAGCGAAGAACTGCAGAAAATAAAAACAAACTCTTTGTCAGTCCCAACGCCGATTTAAGCAGTCTACAACTCCACCACTAACAAAAACAGATGCCTCAATAGCAAACTTCCAGGATAAAACAACCACTCTGATGTCACAATATCTGATGCCAGAAATTACTCTCCGATTGTTGGAAAATACTGCCCTGATCCTGATGAAGTAAGTGTTATCGTACTTGAAAAATGCGCCAAAGAATTAATAGCAGTGGTTCAACCTATAACCGAAAATTAAAAGTTCACCTTCTTGAACGCTATAGACCATTTGCTCAATATCAGTTATATCGAATAACATGGAGGAAGCTGTTATTCAACACATTCTCGAATATTTGGAACGCTTCAACATCTTAACCAAACATCGACATGGTTTCTGGATAGCAAAGATCAACAGGCGACCTTCCTGAATGAGTTACGTTTGGAACAGCACAATCGACTTTTGCCATCAATGCTGGTGTTACACAAAAATCTATACAATACATAAACGATCTATTGGAAAAGACTACAAATATATCCTGATTTGTTTACGATATGACTCTTGTTTCTCCTTTCCATTTTGGTTGCCCGTATAAGAGGTTTCAAAATCCCTCAGTGAGGATCTGGAAAACATTTCAGCTTGGGGTGATGAAAACCAAGAAGGATGTATTACTACGAAAACATCATCGATTGCTTCTAAATAGATTATTGTAGTGAAACCGGACATCATAATGCTAGGACACACAATTCTGCTGGCAACTCCTATCAATTTTTGGGTGTCAAATATGAATTTAAGTCTGAGAGACTTGAAACTCTATTTTGAACCAGAAAGTTGTACACATCCCATTAACTTTTAACACTATATAAAG